ATACACCTGAATCAATGACACTTGGGTTATACTGCACAAGTTGTTTGAGAGTTGGAAAACAGATAGTTTTGCTGTTGATCTATTCCCTTAAACTCATCAAGACTTTTTCAATCGGATTTTTCATTCACCATGGAGGCTTGCAAGAAAAGCAACGTTTTCTTCAACTCAGGATAACACGTGGTGAGTAATCGGTATACAAATGGTCATTTTGTGGGTGAAGTATTCCTTTAAGCCACTTATCCTTCCTCTTCCTTCCTCTCTCCCTCCTGATCTATAAATACTCTCTCATCAGCAGAGGCTGGCTGCGAGAGGCGTCGACCCCGGCCTCTCTCCGTCCAGCAGAGCAGTGATTTATGGGAGCTCGGGCTGGCGCTAACCTTGCACTTGGGCCCTGGCAGTATAAATGATGGCAGGTCAGTGGCATGGCGGATGGAGGGGAGACACTCTCTTTCTCCACCTCTCTCCCTCTCTCCTCTCTGTCCTGTTATCATCAGCGTGATGGAGACATCATCATCGCCATTTCCCAGGAGTATAAATAGTGCTGGATCAGGTGACAGTGCCGGCCCCGGCCTTTGATGGGAGCTTTAATTTCATGCCTAATTTATCTCGGCACAGAGAGGATCGATGCTGCCCTGCTCCTGCTCCCCATCCCTCTGCTGCAAAGACAAGAGAGCCAGGAAGGACAAATGTTGGCCGCTGAATGATGTGCCTGCACCAAGACATTTAGCTTACCTGTAAACACACATATAGGCGGACATCCTTCACAAAAGCATTGGTGAATAAATGCCAAACCTACACACACATGCAGAGGTCTGTTTCTGCAGCCCGATCAATACAGCTGGAACGGATAGCTTTGGAAATAAGGGCAAATATAACTACACAGCTACCCACCTGTGTGTTGTGTGTGTTACACATTGCCATGGTGATAAATGTAAGCCCTGTGTCCCCGCTTGCAGCCCCAGGGAGGCATTGAACTCTAGCCCCTCCATAATGACTTTGTCTACCTATCGATCCGGCCATGATCCATGTACTGTAATTCTTATATCATCAGCCCCGGCCCCAGCCATAACTCCAAGTCATATTTCGGGGCCTCCCGTCCACTTGACAACTTAATGATGCAGGGGTCCTTGCCGAGTTTGGACTTTCACCCTCTTCCTCTCCCTTCCTCTCCTCCTGCGGGGCTCTAATTTCTCCTTGTTCTTTCAGACTAATATCAGCAGAGGCTCACAGAGAATGTTCTCTCCAAGGACTCCTCTCTATGAGCCACATATTTTCTCCTCCTCACCTCTGAGTACTTGCAGTATTGTGCAGGGTTAGTGTCTGGGACTGCCGTGCATCTGTCTCTGATTTGGAGCACAGCCCCTGCAGGCTCCTGAGGAGACTCAGCCGTCCCTCTTTAGACCCTGTTCTCTTTCTCCCGTTGGGCCGGGGCTATATTTCATTGTCATTTCAAGCCTCTCTTCCTAGCCTGGGTGTAATAGCAGGAGATATATGGGCCCTCGTTTCTGCAGTCTTCGGAGCTTCCTCAGCCTTTTTATAAAACACTGTCAGAGTGACAAAACAGCAGCCCTTGGGTATTCGGGGCGCAGATGCCCCCCACCATCCCTCGGCGATTTCTCAATATCCTGCGCTGATCCTTTTAGCAAAGAGATAACATCTGGGTCCTTGGACAGGATTAGTTGGAACAGTCATCCCGGCTCAGAGTCGTAGCTCATCTCTATAGCTCTGTCTGCCTGTAAGCCATGGGCTGTCTGTCAGCTCTGTTTTTATAAGAGCTGATTTAGGGAGCAGCCCTTGAATCCTGAGCCAATAGAGAACCACAAGAGCATGCAGGACAATTTTTTAAATACTTCGATCCAGTGCTGACACACCTGATGGCTAATCAAGGAGCGTCAAGCTGTCAATGCAAAGCGAGGGAGGTGTTGTTCATTACCTGGCCGCAATGACATATTACAAACCCAACACCTCTGAGAAATGGCCCTGATTGAGATGTGAGTAAAAGGGGATAGGAGGCGGGGAGCAGATGGGCTCGGCAGACAATTAAAGCTGCATCTTCTGCTGAGGCTTCCTCCACTTTGTTCCTGTCACTCGTGCCTCATCCTCGGTGACATCCATCCTCTTCATAATGCCACTGACTGCACCCATTCCCTTCCTGCCCTCACATTTCTACCCCTACCTCACATCATGCTCCCTCTAACACTCTCATCCACACACTCTCTCTGCCTCACCCCCACCCTCCTCCTTCCCTCCCAGCCTTAATTGGGAGTCAGGGAGAGCAGTGGAAATCGCATTAACGCGGGCCCTGCCTGGGTGTGCCATCCATCTTCTTTTTTATTACGCCGCGCCGGGGCTGCCTGGGCGCTGCCGTTCGATTTGTCACCGGCCTCGTTCGCTGATAACAGGCATTTGTCATCGCCTTGCCTCCCTGTTAATGTTATCATCTCCTCCCTGACAGCCGCCCTCCGCCGGGGAGCGCCGGCGACAAAGCACATCCGTCAAGCGAATATTTCCACGGCTAAGGGGACCGCACACTGCAATAAGCCACATTAAAGCACTTATGAAGGGTGCAGGCCGAGTATGTGTGTGTGGGCACCGGTGCCACCATGCGCGCAGGAGTGTGCGCCGCGTGCGCATACACACACCCCGCGAACGCACGGCGTGTAGTGCGCTTGTCAGTGCCGTAAAAGAGGCGAGGTGGGGGCCGACAGGGAGAGGGAGAGGTAATTTGTTGCAATTAATTACGCAGTGAGTGTGGCTTTGTTGTGGGGGAGAGCATTTTATCTGTTGGAATGCTTCCTTCGCCAGGCTGTGATGCTATTTGTTTGATTTATAGCTTCTGCCTGCCCCAGGCGGAGTGAGCCTGCGTGTGTGTGTGTGTGAGTGTGTTTTCACATGTGCTTTGGCATTATCCACAGAAATGTACTGTAGTCGCAGTGACAAGGAGCCCTTTGTTTGGCAGTGAAGTTACATATGAACAGCCACACGGCCCCTGTTTGTCCTCTCTCAGGACTCTGCTGTCCATTTGTCATTCAGCAGCAAATCAACAACTCCAAAGGTTGACTCTCAATCAACCAACCTCCTTTTCCTTCCTTTACTTTGACAGGGAGCCATGTCTGAAAGTGAAAGTGCAGTCTTCCTCTGTACCAAAACAATCCAGATGGGATGTTTCCAACGATGGCCTGGTAGACCCTCCTCTCACTCTCAAGCAGAAGTGTTACACGAGTATCCATCCTGCCTCAGTTGGGGGTTTGCAGGACTCTGACAGATGGATCAGCCAGCCTAAAGGCAGTGAGTTGAGATGAGAGAGAGAGCGCCACTTCCCATCCTTGCACATATATGACTACCAGATTTACCATACAGCGTCACATGGCAAATTCACAACCCTGGCTGGCAAAGGACTGCACTCAGTCATGATGCAGTTTCACACACTGGGAGATTATTCACACCATGATCAAACTACACAGTTTGACGTGAAGGTCAAAAATATCTGAGATGGTCATAACCTCCCTAAGATTCCAAAACGAAGGGCAGAATTCTTGGTAGGAAAAGAAACAGAGACTATGTTAAATGTCACCTATTATGCAAAATCCTCTTTTTCATGTATTTTATACATACACATGTGTCCCCTCTGTGGAAAGAGATTCTGAAAGTTTCAGGAAAAAAGATTCTCTCTCTTTTTGTCCTGGTCAATTTATATAAAAACCTGCTGAAAATGAGCTGATCAGATTTTGGCCAATTTATTATGTCATAACGATTTTTTGGCTTGTGTAACCATTAGCCAATAACCCCCCCGCCCCTATCACCTGAATCTCCTCCTAGAGCACCATTGAGTTCTTTTTAACCAAATCTCTCAGAGGGGCGTGGGGAAGGGCTCCTTGTTTTCATCTAAAGTAACATACAGAGAATCAGCACTTTTGAAACAGGGCTGAAACAGAGGGGATTATGGGATGCTACAATGATCTGTTTGGTGTTTGGAGCCAAACACTTCAGAGACATGTTTTGTATACATCTGAGACCTATAATATATTGATGAAAAACAGTATAATAGGGGACCTTTAAGATTATGTTAAATGTAAACTATTATAGATCCATATTAGTAAGAAAGAAGTGTGTTGGTTGGTTTTAGTGTAAGTAGTTTAAATGTTTCTTTTTCTTATTGGTGCTATATTAATATTTAATGGCACTTGCTTTGTGTTTTTTTTTTAATAACCGTGGCTTGACTGAATAATTACCAAGTACAATGGATGAAACCTAGCAAAATGGATTTTCTGTAACTAGTTGTTCTTATTATCAGCTTTGAACTGAATTCAATTCAATGAGCTTCTGTTCATATCCTATCATCCTGATCAGCAGATTACTTTTGCTAAATGTGCATGGAATTGTAAATGATGAAATGTCAATTTCAACACCTTAAGGACTTATTGTTCAGGTTGGAGAGTCAATGGCAGCTAGGCACACTGGGTCTGCTGATGATGATCATGTGATATGATAAATGCTCCTGGTCATAGCACTAAATTGACCTTCATGGGGGCGTTTATTTTCTAAACTGCTGTTTTTAAGGTCAACACGATTTTGCACATCACTTTTAAATCATGTAATAGTTATTAATAAAGCTCTTAGTTACAACTGATCTGTCCAAGACAGAGTAAAGGGTGTCTTATTACTGCCTTTTAGCCAACCTCATAGGGGTTCAGTGTTTTCTAATGATACTTTCTATTAGGTCAACATTAGGAATCATTTTGGCTTTGTGGGAGGATCAGATCTGTCTGTTTATATTCTCGGTTTATGTATTACATTCTATATGGAAACAATCTCCAGTTAAAGGTCGCCGAAAAAGCTAAAGTAATGTGATTTAAACATTTGCCCTAAAATAATTGTTTTGCTAGCAGAGAACCGCTGCGCTACATATTGGCGGTTGGTGAAGTAAATTACTTTATTGCATATATATTACATTACATTTATTTGCTCTTACAGCGAAAAACTAAAAAGAGAGAGACATAAGCCATTAAGCCATAAGCCTTCTTTTTATTTCCACCGTATTTTAAACACAGAGTTCTTGTAAAACAGGCCAGTTCAAAAAGAAAAAACTAAACTTTGTTTTGATATATTGATAAGTTATAGCTCTTTAACAAGCTTTAAATATATGTGTGTATCTTTGGACAATATCAATGAAATGGCCACAATATCCAGCTCTCGTAAAATAGACATCAAATTGACAAAGTGAACAGAAGAAACAAACACCAGCTCAAGTTGTTTGAGGAAACGTTCACCTTGAGCTGAACACTGTGAACACAGTTAAATATAATATTATATCATTCTCACGATGTCTTGTGACTTATTTAACCGCTGTATGAAACATTGGAGAAATTATATATCTTCCTTTAGTGTGTGCTGTTATTGCTGTGTCACTAAATGAACATATTTCAGTGTCAATTGATCAACAACGAAAGCATTCAACACTTACTGTGAACAATGAAGTGATCATGGGATGTGTTTGAACAAAGTGAAGCTAATGCGGAGATTAAAACTTCTCAGAGCACTGTGAGAAACCAACTCGGCTCCTGTAAAATGCTTTAAGATGCGGAGAAACGGATTAAAATGTCAGTGATGCTTGATTTGAAAAGCATTACCGCGTGACTTCTGTCTCACGTTATGTACAGGAGCTGTGCTTTGACAGGAGATTAACTGTTGAAACATAAATGATTCTGTGTGTGTGTCTGTGTGTGTGTGTGTGTTGGCATGGGTCTTTGTAGTTTTAAACTTGAAGCAGCAGATCTCGTCTTGGTCAAAGAAATTCCCCTTTTACCTCTACTACGTTAACTTCAGTCATTACATACTAAGAACATCATCTGTAAATGTAGGTATGTCTCCTCGCCCCTTTGATCTTTATCTGTGGAGGCCAAGCGTTCCATAGCCGTTCATCTCAGCCATTTTGAGATGCCCATTGGAGGTCAGTTCTTCTTCCAGGATGTTGTTCTTGGCGGCAAACATCTGGCTGATCTCCATAAAAGTTTTGTTCTTGGTCTCAGGAATAACGAAGATGGTGTAGAGGGCCACTCCCAAGCAGATGGTACAGAAAATCAGGTAACAGTAAGGGCCCATAGTCATCTGTAGTGGGGGGACACACAGTGTCACAGTGAATACAAGATTACAAATGTCTAATCAAGGAAAACAAATGTTCTGGCAAGTTGCTTATTTACACATACAGTAGATTCGGAGTAACATGATCGTTCATTTGGAATCATGTTCATTTAATATTCATTCTCCTTCTATTTCCCCATAGGGTTTTTCTTCAGGAATCTTCAGGAAATATGTCTCTTTAGCTGCTAAATGCACCCACCGCTATGTTCACCAGCTAGCGGCTAACTCATACCTTAAATTACACATATCATACAATGTATTGTCTAGTGTATTCATAAACCTTACTGGATATATATTCTATTCTTTTCTTTTATCATGTACATTTCTCAACCTTTTACACTTCTTTTAGATGCTAAACTGCATTTTGTTGCGCCCTGTTGAGCTAAGGCACTGCAAAGTTAGCGGATGCTAATCTTCGGATTCATCACTTACATCACACATAAGTATTTGACTAGCTGCTAGCATAAGTCCAAGTGGAAAGTATGGCTTTGGAAAGCTCTGAAGCTGTTCGGTTCATTTTGTTTCTCTAAATTAAATTAAAGATGACGGATCAAACCCTTTCCACAAGACAGATCCGCGTCCTCCTTACTTTGTGCCTTTTTACTAGACAAATCTTTTACTAGACCTTAAGCCACAGCAAGGTCGCTTTTAATTAGTAATTGTATTGCTTTGTGGGGAGTCGCCTTTATTCAAACAAAACCAGACAGCCCACATCAATTGTCTGGCACTGTGAGTGAAGCCACATCAGATCCTTGGTCCAATGTCAAGATAAACTTGAGTGTTTCAATATCAACTGGACTTATTATACAAAATATTAGAAATCATTACAAGATGATGATTTTACAATGAACCTTAGTGGTGAGTGATGCAGGGATGACATCTTTTTGTAGGCCGACCAAGATGTTAGCATCACAAGGGCTCCCTCGACAATATGCTAATAGGATTTTTACATTGGCTTTTAGATTATAGAAAAAAAACAAGCTCTCTGGCAAACAAACAGTTATGACACTTACATGTTTTTTTATGCTGGATAATCTCCACATATTAACACCGCTTTATGGTTAAGCAATACAAATCTAACGTTAGGCTTTAAAGGAACTACATGACTGTCCCAAGGCTGCGCATCACCACCGCTAAGATAAAGGCTACGTAACAACGTGCCATTAGGTCACTTGTTAACAGCCAACATTTTTACTGATGTAAATATTGTTGTAGAATTTAAGCTTCTGTTAACCACATATGGGATTTCAGGCATCTAACTAAAAACATATACTAAAAGTATATTGACTTCCACATGAGCAATTCAACCTAAAGTGCCAGAAGGTCAACTCATTTCTGGGTTTTGGGACATTCTTGACATTCATTCCTGCACCACTTTATTTAAGACAGTTAAACCATGAGATGTGTATCACCGTTTTTTAGGGTTGTATATTTCAAAATAGAAAGCCAACAGAAGAATTTAAAGTTTTTTCTGACCTCTAGGAAGGGAAAGACAAAGCCGATGGTGAAGTTGGACATCCAGTTGAGGACACCAGCCACCGTGTAGGCAGCCGGTCGGTGAGACTGCTTAAAAAGCTCTGCAGTGATCAGGAAGGGCACACCAGCTGCGTAAGGAAAGAAGAAAACATATATGTTTTATGTAAAAGGACAGGTTTGGACGACATGTTCCCTGTAGTTCATCTATTAGTCTGATCTTACAAGGCATCCATGTGTAGCTATATGAATCTATTGGGTAAAAATAACACCCTTATCTTCATTTATCAATTAGTTTATCAATATCCCACACAGAACTTGTTGGCAGTCATTCAAAATAAACAGAACAATGATGAAACCAATTTAATTCACATTTGCTATTTTATTACACTCCCTTTTTCCGTGTGTAGTTCATAATGTGTTCATTATTACTCAGTGATCATAGATTGAAAGAGAGAAGGATGTTTTCAACTTGGAGAAAGTCCAACTTGGCACCACAAGAAACAGAAAAGCTTAGCCAGGACTTGTGCAGGTCATTAATTTGATATGTAGAAATGTTGTCCTATCTTTAAAACGCATAATTCCTCATTGTTAAAAGTGAAAGCCATGAAGGAGAAATATGCATTAGTAAAAGCTCTAATGATGAGCTTTTCCCAACGACGTCCTCATTAACTGTTCACGATAATTGCATGGAGGAAGGTTTAATATCGTCAAACCAATAACGAGGCCGTAATTTGTCAACATCTGCGGTATGTATGGGGGGCGTCATTGTGCATGCGAGGTTTCGTCTGAAAGGAAACCGTATTCATCACGGCTAGCTTATGAACAATGAGCCATTAAAAGTCTAATTGCAGCAACAGAAATCCTCGTCCGCATGCCGAGGTATGGATTTTTGTCTGTTTGACGAATTACGCTATGTAAACCAGATTTGTTCTAATTCATCATCCTTGCAGGTCCACTCAACGGGGCTCCCAAAGTTGTAAACTATTGCCTCTTAATTCACTTCACTCAACTCATCCCGTGTTCAAATGGCTGTGGGAATGGATGTAGTGTGGCTGTTATGATTTCATAATTTACAAGACTAATGAAATACAATATCTCTTCACAGTCACAGGAGGAGTAGGGAGGGGTGCTGCTTTAGAAATAATATTTGGGGGCTGCTGTTGCGCGAGCTTCCAGCAGGGAGCAGTGTTATCTTACACACAGGGCAGCAGTGCAAGTATGTATGGAGTGAATTTTTTTTAAAGAGTTCCAAGTAGAGAGAGTTACTAAAGTGTTTACCTGGACCTATGCAGAAGCCAGCGATGATCCCAACAACACAGCCGACACTGATGTAGCGCATGAAGGCCATCTGCGCCTGTGATTGGTCAAACACAAGTCAGGAGTAAGAGGTCAGGAGTTGTAAACATACGTAAAACAATGTATTTATAGTGTAATAGTTTTTCACAATTAAACATTTGACTATTTTTCTTAAAAACAAATGAGTTCCATGATATGAACCATGTGGGGCTCCTGACATTTGTTACTTATGATCTAATAATTCAAATTGTTCACCTTTTTTTAATTTTACAAATCATTTAAAACAATTAATCAGAGTTTTTCAAATGTGTCACATGACACACTACTGCTCATTTGGGCTATTCTCAATTTTCTTTATTCTCTAGGTTATTTTCTTATCCAAATGTCATTTAATGTAAGCGAGACTAGATAAATCAAGTGGATATCTTCCAAATTGAATAGCCTTTTAAGTACAAAATTCACTTTTTCATTATGATTCTTCCATTGTAGCTACAAAGGGAAACAAAAAGGGAAATTATTACTAAACAGACTTTGGTTTAGGAAGAATTACATTTGATTAGTTATTTTGGATCTTAGACTGCTGAACCCTCAAGCATATAATACACTTTATTCTAAATAGTTATATGGGCAACCCCCTTATATGGTGTTCTTACTGTATGCCAAAAACAACAACCATAAATTAGAACCAGATTTTGGTTAAGTAAATGATTATGTAAATGTGGTTATGCCCTTGGCACCATCTAAAACAATGTACTGTATGCTCTAAGCTTCAATCTGCAAGGTGCTGTTAATATATTCTTTGCTTAGCACAGGATCAGATGACAAATGACCTGGTAGAGGACAGACAATGTGATCCCAGCACAGCAGATACCCATGAAGAGGAAGCCGCCAATGATGAGAGGCCTTCTGCCCACACGCTCGATAGTGAAACACTGCAAACAGACACAGACGAGAAAACGGTTGTGATTGGCTGAATATTTACCTATGTTTCCATAAAACACAAGGTATCTATTATTAGCCGTTTAGCTAATCTGGCACATTACATTGCATTAAAGTTAAATAATGTAAAAAGTAAGTAAAGGTAGAGTTCTAAAAAAAAAAGTCAATGATTTGTGCTTTCGCAGTTTTTTCTGTTATCAATTAGTTTAATTTTCAGGGTGAGTATATGGACCAGTATCAACAAACCTATTCCAGCAGATATTTATTTGTTTTTAATGATTTCACTACAACTACGCTTTTACGGCTGTAAAAAATGTCTATAAAATAATCTAGTTTGCAAAACGATGCCCTAAATGGACCTTTGTACAGTGAACAGAAGAAGAAAAGAAATCCCACAGGTGCAATTGTGTGACTAATTTAAAATGTTTTAGGACAAATTAGCAAATGACTAACAACAGATGATTAGAACTAAAATGAACACTTATAATCTGATTGGTTAATCTCCCAAATACTTTTTTCAATTTGGCAATTAACTTTCAATCTATGAAATTAAATTTAAAATACCATTTTCAACTATAAACTACAAGAGCAAATAAAAAATGTGCAATTTGGTTAATGTTTTTACAAAACTGTAATTTTAATTTGGCTGCTTAAGCTAATAAACAGTATTCAGCTGGCAATCAATGACTATTACCATTATGAATAAGTCAATATTTTGGATAAATTAATTGTGTGTTGTGATTATTTGATTAATTGTCAGGTCTATAAATACACTCATCACAAGATCACAGAGCCAAGGTGAGGTGACACGGCTTGTTATGCTAGATATTTACTAAAGAATGGTATAAAATGGAGCAACAAATCCCCACAATGGATCCACTATATAAACACCAAACAAGATAGTGTTATATAATATGTCATCTTTATGGTGTTTGAAGTGTGGTAATGTCTACTCACCCCCAGCATCCCAGAGATGACCTCAATGGCACCAGTTCCCACAGTTACGTACTGAATATTAAGATCAGGGATTCCTGCGTCCCTAAATATGTCATTTGTATAGAACCAAATCTGAAAATTGAAAGTGAAAAGAAGTCAATGACACGATAAATATGTAGGACCAACCCTCGATACCCACCCAGACAGATACTATGAAACTTTTTTTTTAATGAAAAGCAAAAAAGTCGCTATGTTTATTTGCTGTGTCCACGTGATTCATCATCGTGATCATTATCATCACACCGACCATCACTCATGCATTTGAGATACAGCGTTTCATCAGCATGGACGTCTGACAACTGCTCCCTCTGAAATTAATTTGTGTGTTCTCATTAATCACACTTTGCTGATGCTACATCCATCATTGATGAGGTGTGGACAAGATCCTGATTGGTGCGGTTAAATGCTGTCTTGTTGATTTAGTAACCGTACATATGCTTTTATATCACCATTGCAGCTTTGAAGCTCTCATACAAATAACTGTATTAAATCAGAAAACATACAAGAACTGGAGGAAATCAAGTTAGAGCATTTGGACCAGTTACATTGTTTTAAACACAAGAATTGTCTATATTCATTTTAAATCGAACGTAACAACCAAAATCGTGTGTTATCTCTATTAGATCACATAAGCTGCAATACTGAACATGTAAGACTGGCCACTCGATAGACTCAAAGGATTGTTGTTTGACGGTTTATATCTATGCTAAGTCAATCATCTTCCTTTCTTCCAGTAGTCTTCTTCATCGATCTGTCCAAACTCAGCTCCCACATTAGCAGAGCAACGCTGGCATGTTTCCCTCTGAGACTTCCTCCTGCTCTTCCAGGGCCAGACCCAAGGTGTTCCTGGGTCAGCTGTCTGGTTTAGTCCCTCTGATGCATCTGGTTGTTCAAGGTCTTCTTCCACAATTACACAGCCAGAGGGAGGCACCTTAGGAGAACTCTGCACCTGTCTCAACCGTCTAATTTGAATCCTCTAGGGCGAGGTGTTCCTCAATCGTTTAGCTCCTCGTCCTGTTTGAGATTGAGCTTTTTAAAATTGGGTAGAAATGAGTTCTTTAGGTCACTAGCGTGGTAATATGCAGAAAGAAGATTGACCTTTACATCCAGAGTCTTACAGTGTGGGGCCTCTTTCTGTTAGATGTTGCTGTCTCAGAAGGTTAGGGGTTCAATACCAGCCCCTGCAGTTAATGGTCTATGTGTCTATGGGCAAGATTCTTAACCACAAATTGCTCCCAATCGCCAATGGTGTGCAAATGTGTGGGAATGTTAGGTCCTTGAGTGGCTGGCACCTTGAATAGCATCCCGTAACTCTGAATGAACCGCTGGGTGGTGTCTTGTCATATGTAAAAGTTCTTTAAGGGATCTATTCATTTATTGTGATTGCCATTTTTCCTTTTCTCCCATTTTTTTATTCATTTCTAATAATAAAATATATTTATTTATTGTTTCATTGTCTAGATGTTCTTGAAATATTCCGTCCATGGTCGAGTTGTTCCAGATCTGCAGATCTCCATAACAACTCCACAAAGTCAGTGTATGTCTTGTAAAAGAACCAGATTTGATCATAAATACAATTATAAATGTCCAAGATCTTCAGTCAGCGTTTGGACACATGCATTCTGGATGTTTCAATCCTCCAGTGTTCCTGGGACAGTTGGACACAGAGGGGGGGGTACCCCTGCTGGGAAATGGTACTAGCATGTGCGCCAGCATGCATCGAGCCTCCATCCACATGGAGCAATGAGTGCAAAGATGTGTCTGACTTGGTGTGCAGACGGGCAGACCTTCTAATGTGGGGTAGCGCTAACATAGAGGACCAGGAGATAATGAGGCGTGGTCCTGTTACCCCCTGCTTAGTCGCTCAGTGGCTGCATGTGGGTCTTTGATGTATGGGTCTGTGATGTATGGACAGGAGGAGGTGCAGATGGGTGGAGCACAGCTGGGAACTGTGGCAATATCAGCTCTCACTCTCATATAATAACGCTCAGAGCCTTTGCACATTCAAATTGTGAGGACACACCAATACAGACGGAGCACACAACACTTTTCACGCTTACCGCATCGATGCCAGACAGCTGCATGCCGATGTTCAGCACCATGATGGTGATGACCTGCCAGCGAACACAGCGGTCCCTGAGCAGGCCCCAAACGGAGATGGTGTGGATAGAGGACAGAGAGCGCTGCTCCTCCTGCATCTCATCCACCTCCGCCTGGATGTTTCCTTTAGGGCGGTACCACTTCAGAGCTACAGGACAGAGAAGAAAGATTTGACCAGAAGAACAAAAACGCCACTGACAACAAATTCAAGAGGAAACCGTAAATGGCAACATGAACAGGTTCACGGGAACTTAATTTTTGATCATTTTAAAGAAGACCAACAAGAAATGTGTCTTTTTTTTAAAATCATGACACACTACTCCATACAATAAAATATAAAAAAACTCATTTAGAAGAATACAATTAAAAATCTAGTTTCGAACCTTCTATGGTGGCGTGAATATTTCCCTTCTCTATCAACAGGTAGCGTGGACTCTCTGGAAACCATGGCAACAGCATCAGTTGGATCATGGTGGGGAACACTATGAGGGACAGGAGCAGAGGCCAGTGCTCTTCCTGTGTGGGGAAACAAAAAACATGTCACCTTACTTAATGCAGCAATCTGAATTTTGTTTATCACCCAATTATCTTTTCTACTATGTCGTACAAATGATTGGCATCTAATTATAGAGTAACAGCTTGTTCATATATTAACTAAAAAAGTGAGTTTCAATCTCAGGTCTTTCAATCTGAGGGAAATAAGGCATGTGATGTGTATTTCTTACGCAATATCAAGACTAGATGGATAGAGAATAGAAGACAGGACTAGCAGTACTTGAGTAATTCAGTACTTTGACAACAATTGCTGGATAGATTAAAAATGATGTTGTTCCCACTGGTACATCATTAATCCAGAGAGTGGAGAAGATAGTAACAAACAGAAAGAAAACAAACTTTAGACATTTGAAGTGTGTTTCCAGCAGTACACAGTGACATAACACCTGTGTGGCGTTTAAAGGCTAAGATGTATACCTTTCCCAGCAGTTCATGGAGTCCCAGGACCTGAGCGATGAAGACTCCCAGACAGATGTGGATGCTGGGAACGAGGCCCAGGAAGCCTCGCAGGCTCTTGGGGGCGATCTCACCGAGGTACATCGGCACCACACTTAGGCAGATACCTGTGGTGAAAAAACACGTATTAGCTTGGGCTTAGTAATGTGTACATTCACCTTACTAAACCAAAACCTTACTTTAAAACTTTGTTCCAAGTGCAATTTTGTATGGCAAGCTTAATATTCAGTAGTTGAATAAAAAAACACGAAACTATCAGAAAAAAAGGACTAGATAGCATATGGACTCAGTGAAAGAAATCTAAACATTAGAAGCACTTCCGAGATCAATCAACACATAAATATGTTTTTTTAAATACTTTTACTACTCAAGTACAAGATCTGAAGTATTTCTCCCACCTCTATCTATGAGACAGTTATTGTTTAGGTAAAGGACCTGACCTTCTTCAACACTGCCAGAGGCACTAGTGCGTGAGTAAACGTAAATTACTTTATGACACATTAAGTAAGTGATGGATTTACAATGCTGCTCTGGAATAAACATCACAAAAGGTTAGGTAATTAGTGTAAACAATGTTGTGCTTTCATTTGAATAATCAGCCTACCTGAGTGTACTCCTGTGATGAATCGTCCCAAAATGACCATCGCAGGCATCCGGCAGCTTCTGCTGAAGCCCATAAGAGCTCCTCCTATAAACACCAGCACAGTCGCTCTCACCAGCGTCCCTTTCCTGTTCGGACACAGAGTCATCCCCCTTTACTTAATGCACTCACAGAAAAAGATGTTTAGAACTGTTGATTGTATATAACAAAGACATACATGCCTTTAGTATGTGTTACACCCCAAAAATCATCTACACACACACTTACCTTCCAAATTTGGTTACGAGTTTGCCCACCAGCAGGGCCCCCGTCATCCCACCGATAGCGAAGATGGACACGGTGACGGAGTACAGGATGGTGAGGTGCCTCTCATCGGGAATCCAGTTGTAACTTTCTGTCAGCGTCTCATTGTAGAAGTTTTTGATGTACTACCGGAAGAAAGAATGAATGTCGTTCATTTGACACTGTCCAGCAGGGGAAACCATAAAACAATTCGTTACCGTGTGGAGTTTCAAGATATGTCCCAAATATTATATCATGTTTTTCCACTATATCACATTTTTCTATTACAAAAGGCAAACATTTCCTTGCGAGATTGTATGTGAATACTCTTAAAAAGAACCTGGTGGCCATAACATTTGACATCTCACATGAGGAACTATTTCCCATGGTTCCAAATGTCAATATTGGTCTTGCTTTTTCAAAAGTGTTAAGTGCAATGGAATGAATAGATGTTTTGAAACAGTGTGAGGGGCAGCCATATTGAGTCTAAAGAAGCTCATCAAGCCCCCACAGTCAGATTTAAATCAGATCACATTGAACTGCATGCTTGATAAAACGACAGCGGTAGTTTCTTCGGTTTGACAAACATTTACTGCGAGAGCCAACAAGATCCGTCAGATTCCATTCAGGTTTATCTGACAGTGAAGACTCCGCAGAGATCAGGCTGTCCTGGAGAACCCATTACATTTAATCCAATTCATCTCAAGAGACACAATTCAGTCACTCTGTGCGAGAAGAAACATCAGAAAACAGGAGACGGAAAAAGTTCATTTGAATTTGTGTGAGTAGTTTTAGTACTCGCACTGCTCAACAGATTAAAAGACAAATTATTTAGTTTATCAAAATAGTGAAGCGTGATCATTTAAAGGAATGGATGACGCTGTGGGGGCTCAGTAATGAAAGGAGGGGAGTTTTAATTGGTCAATTTGTCATGAAACTCTGGACAACGTGCGTCCAATTTGTCCCAAGAATGTCTCCAACACATGCAGGGAACTTTATAAAGTGGCAGTCTGTGTACAGTGCTAGAAGACAACTAATGTTTTCAGTTATTACCTTGCACCAGCCTGGTGCTGATTGAGCAAGAATTAATTGAGGTAACAAACAGATCTCACGTGTGTAATCAACATACCTGCTGTTCGGAAGGAAAGGCCTTCATACAACATGGAGGCAGTTGTGGATGACAGATGCTGGTAATAATCACACATGAATCTTTACTCAGCCTTGTTGGCCTTATTGCCAAATACTTCTCCCGTTCGTTAGATGATGAGCAGGATAAGTTTTTGGCTTTTAGGTATTGTTATTTTTGTCTGTTTGTCAGCAGTGTAAAGAGGAAAAACAACCGACCTGTTTTTTATGAAACTTTGTGGAAGGTTGTAGCATTGGTCAAGAAAAAATTAAAACCGCATTTTGAAACAGATCGGAATCACGGGTGGACACAAACATTGTTTTTCACCTATGGAAATGGCCTTGGTGGCAGTCTACGCTCTTTAAATGCCCTTCTAGTTCTATCATATCCTGCCGTATTGACAGGCCAAATGATATTTGAGCATCACAGCAATCCTTGGTTCATAATATTACATTAGTATAACCAGAAGTACATATTCTCAGGTTTAATTTGATAAAAAATGATTTGTCTAGCTAACAAAGCACTGAATGGTCAGGCACCATCCTATCTAAAAAGATCCCCTATTGCACCACTAGGGCATTACGATCCCAGAGTGCAGGTTTGTTGGTGGTTCCTCGGGTCTGCAAAAGTAGATACGGAACGTACCGCACTCCCATTCTTTGGAACCAGCTTCCTGTTTTGATTAGTAAGAAATACAGCATCCCCACATTCAAGAATAAGCTAAAGACCTTCCTTTTGAATTAAGCCTCAGGTTTGAGCTGGTTTCAGTCTTCCCCAGAACGTCCTCCTGGGTCCTACATTTTATTGTATTTTTCTCTTATTCTATTTAATTTTACTCTATTTAATTTCTATTTCACATTTTATCATGTCATTTTTATTGTATTTTTGTCATTTCCTTATGTCTTTTTATATAATTATTTTCTGATCTGTGAAGCCAACTAAATGGGTTTTGTGACACTCGGCTATATAAATACAATCTGATTTTGATTCTGTCACTTGAAATCTGACAGCAGGAGCCCCTTTGTTTTCGGTTCTGCCCTGTTCACTAGTTGCATGTGTTAACATGTCATTTTCCAGTAATTAGTTAGAATTAGTTTGAATCTCATGTTACATGACTCAAAGTAAAAATCACAATAGCTGAAGGGCACATGATCCACATGGCAAGTCAGCAAAATACACTTAAGGCGTGGGAAAGGGAGAAGAAAATGGTGGGAAACTGGAGCAACCCTACAATGTAAGAACCCTTTAGTTAACACTGTAGATACCTTTTTGTAAGTAATTCAGAGTCAGAACACAGTAAGTAAGGATAATTCCAGGAAAATGAAATTCACATTTAATCATCTGAATCTTCCTGAACGTAAGAAGCTCCTTTGCTTCAAGCTGAGCTTCAAGTGAAATGTATTTCAAGTTTGTTGAACTAGTCAAGCCAAAACAGAAACTAAGAAAGTTATTATGCTGTGACTTTCGTGATGCTTAGCTCACACAGATTCCATGCCAAAATGTTTTTTATTTAAAAGCCAACATTTCATTTTATAAAATAAGACCTCTATGCTGCAGCAAGTCTGCTCAAAATACAGAGTGGAGGAAGTCAGAAACGACTTTTCTGATAATGTCATATATTAAGACATACAAGCCCAGGTAGTTTTTTAGGTATCCTGGAAAAACCTCTTTCAACCATTTTCTCTCAGCTCAATGTCAACTGATCTCCCTGCCCCACCAAGTTATATTTGGAGCACACTGGAGTAACTACTGTCAGATGACACACAGCAGTGAATCCAACAACACTGAAGTCACATGGAGCATGGTTAAAGGTTTGACCTCACATTGGTAGCAATTTGGGAAATGTCTGACGATGAGCACTTATCTCCAATCCAACAAAGTAAATGCTGCATCATTCAAGTTTGGTCAAATATTCATGTTAAAAAATGAGAGGTTGGAACAATGGAGAGCCGTTAGCAAGGGGTCGGATCTACACAAGATTATCACCCACATTTATTGTTCCCCTCACCCTAATGGAACGTTTCAACTCCTTGTTCAGCTGTTAACAACTATTTTGGTTTACACTCAAAGCTTTGCCGGTATTTGAAGTTCAAAAAGCTCTAAAAACCCACTGTAGTCTAAACGTTCCTAGCATTTAGTGGCTAATGAGACAGATGTCATCTCGTAAACTAGAGAGACTGGTGGAGACCAAAAATAATAGAAAAAGAAAGGTAACATTTGACTTAATCAGAAGGTGGATACAAACAGGGCTCTAAATGAATGTGACTCTTAACCTGTTTTCTTTTTCAATATTCAACTGCTTGTTAAAAGCCTCGCCATATTGATGGAAATGGTGTTCGTTCCATGCCTCTTCTTCATAGGAAAGTAGCCCTGACTGGTAGTAAGACATGTGGCACTGAAGCTCACATGCTTGAATGTGATGAGGGGGGGACAGGAATGGTTCCCAGCCTAGTCACTACACCACGGCAAATCACAATTCGAAGTGCAGAAGGTGGATATAAACGACAGGACATCAATGACACAGTGAGGCTCTCAGCCACCTCTCCATTTGATACCCACCCACATGACTTCACATGACAATAAAATGCAATCTTATCTTTGCTGTCTCCATTAACATCTAAAAGTCATCCGTAGCATAGATAAAGATTGAGTCTCCAAGATTGAGTCTGGAAACATTTGGGGTGAAAACTATTTGAATACTCAGGTGGATGATGACTGACAGCAGTAAGAATGACAATGGGAGTGATGGCTAACCTGTGCTGGTGAGTTGACGACCGCCAAGTTGAAGCCATAGAGCATGGAACTGCCGAAGGAGGCCAGGAAAGCCACCGCCAGCAGAGGCTTTGTGAGATGCTGAGAATGAGAAGATAAAACAAGTCAGATGCCAACAAAAGTTACATGGTAAACTATCTCAGTAGTGAAGTATTAACGTGACTTAAGTATTAGCGAAAATGTTTGTCTTTGATGGGTGTTTTTGTTAAAACGTGACTCCAACTTTTGATTTTCCCATAAAGGACAAAGAGAGTATTAGCCATCTTCAATGTAGCCTTCATGTCAGAATAAAAGGCTTTACAGTCCATATTTGTAAATGTCTATGTGCATACGCAGTGGATATTTATAGAGTATGTGTGTTTAGTATAAATAACTGTTGTTGTTAATTTTGGTGTATTTTAGATCATTAACGATACTGTAGCTTGTGCATTTTCTTTAAGATAAGATGGAACTTTATTTATCCCCTTGGGGAAATTCAAGCGTTAATAGCAGCAACAGTGTCAGAATGAAAAACAGGATTCACACATGGTAAAAATTAAGATAAATAGAATACAAATTAAATTAATAATACAGCAAAATTAAAGTGATAAAGTATTGTAAATGTCTCTGCTGTGTACTTAAACACATGTCATGCACGTTGGGTCTATTCTCTGGACTGGTCTGCAGCCTGCGAAGAGATTAGCTCCCTCTGCATGAGTATGTAACAGCATTATTGTAAAGGGTAAGCCTATATGTTGCATGTGTGATCTTTGCACTTTGGGGGCAAAGTTGAAACGGCCCCTAGTGGAACCTGGTGGATTCAGAAGAAGTAAAACAAACACACGGATGCAGGACACATTCAAAACGTTTACCTCTGGGAGAGACTGATTGATTGATTGATTGAAAAGTTTTATTAACAGCTTGTATATTGGGTACAGTACAGTACAGCTCAAAACATACAATTGTTAAGGGGATGCAGACCAAAGACTTTCGTCTTGTTTACATCAGGGTCCCCCATTTCCAATTCATCATATCATTAAAGACATATAAGACATATTTGACATACAGATGGCTTATTTACAATTTTCATTTTAGATTTCGTTCTAATACATCCTAACCGGACATTTAAGACATACGACACTTTGCATTAGAACTGGTTTGTAGGAAAAACAGGTTTTATGAAGCTACAACATTTCTCAAGTAGCTAAACTTGTGTAGTAGTCTGAGAAAATAGGACAACTTAAGCTTTGTGTTGCATATTGATAACATCAGCCTGGTAGAGTACTTGTGTGGACCACGCCAAAGTCACATGAGCCCCTACTCCGTCTTTAAAGAGGGAGGGGGTGGTCTACTGCATTTTCATTAGGAGCGGGTTGCAGCTACTCTCTTGGCTGCCATCTGAAATTCCAGCAAACAAAGCTTAGCTGACCTGTTAGAAGGTCAGCAGGATTATAACGTTCTTACCTCAGGTTGGAGAAAATTACACCACACAGTAAGTCCACCCTCCAACCATTCTGTCAAGGTTATATAATACTAAATAAAATCAGGGTTTATTCAACCCCACTATTCTTTTATATCAGCGAGCCCAAAAGGAATCTGTTAATGTGTAAGATGTTAGTACAAGGAGCAGACTGAGGAGGCTCTCTGCTCTGTGGCTGAACAATAACAGCATATATGCCTTCAAGAAACTTAATTTAGCCGCTTAATAGACTGAAGGATGGAGTCAGACGACTACACGTGAACATAGTTCACTGGAGACAATGCTGTCCAGTCTGCACTTAATTTAGGTTGATTATCTGTCGGATGTGCAGCTCTTCACATGTTGCAGTTTAGTCAAAGCAAAGATTTGACTAGTCTTTGCTGGGATTTTCTTAGTTTGATTTATGATTGATTTTAAAGAAATTAAAGCCTGTTTTAAATCATTTTATAGTGAAATGCAAATTGTAGCAGCTGATATGATGATCCTTATTCAAATCTGGATATTTGTATAAACATACAGTATTTCCATTTATAGGCCACATAAACATGTCTGTGTTGACAGCATGAAGAGTTGATGGTTAAAAACGCCAAATCCAAATCAGGAACATCTCACAAAATAATCCAAATGCTGTATAATGCAACAGAAAAATATGATATTTGACTACATGTCAATCAACCCTCCATAATAAAAGTCACATTTGAACACTCACCGTGCCGTGTTTTCCATCGCTTTCCAGAAGTATTTCCTCCGCCATTTAAGTCATCTATAATTACTCCCCTTGTGTGCTCTGCTCGTTTTTTGATTATAAATAATCTCATCCGCACAACTTTATCCAACTCTTCACTCCCCAATTTGTAGTTTTCAGACATGCTCCTGGGACCAGAGGAGGCGTGTCGTGTTGATGGGCGGAATTAACCAGCCTTTCAAACTCCGGATCTCCAATCCTCGCAGCGCAGCGCATCGCAGAGCAGGCCCACCCCAGGCGTGAGGTCTTTCCCCCCGGTCCATCAGCAATCACATGAGCCAAGTGGCTTCATCCTGCGTCCCAAAGCGCGCACAGTTGTTATTAAACAGCCTATGACTAACGTGACTAACAGGGGCGTGTTCAGGATTAGTAAACACTGGTCCTGGCTCAGAACAAGTATAAGTGTTGGGATCCCCCCTTCCGGGTGAAGGTAACCAACACTTACAGATTTAAGCATGAGCTTTGATCAATTACTTCACTGTATAAGATTAGACTGTTATATAATCAGGGTCTAACATTACAATAGCCTACTATAAACATTTCAACTATTCAATAATTTAGTGGGAATGCTGTTAACAGCATAAATCTTCATGCAATTCAACTGCTAACTGTTCATTCATACTTTCACTCAGACACCTCATTCCAACTTTAAAATGTTACATATCTTTCTGACATTATTCCTGTAAAACAACTTTTAAATCTGATTCTTACTTTTAGAGATATTAAACATTGTTCAGACCTTGTTTTAGAGGTTTTCTTCACATTTTAACATTAACTAGAGTGTGTGATGTCACAGCTAGAGTGGAAGACAGCTTGAAATTCGCATTCATATATTTTTTTTAAACTGCCATAATTCCCAAACCCTACATTCCTGAGACATAATTTATCATGACAAACGTAGGAAAACATCTCGTAGCTTGGAAAATGACAAATAATTAAACAAAAAATAATTAAACAAAATGCTTTTTGAGGGCATGAAGTGACAAAAACGTTCAACATTCCTCCATTAAACCCCATTGTAATTTCAGGCAGATATTTCCTCACAGCAGCAGCCGCACACCTTTAGTTAAACTGCCAAAAAGGCCACATTATTAACCCGAAACTACACAAAAATTACACCTCAGATACTCAACTTCCTTGACATGCTTCACGTTTCGAAATTTCAAAGATATTTGTTACGGTTCTTCCACAAAACGTTCACATGTAAGAGGTTTATCTCTCATTCAGAACAATGAAGCCTTTCATCTCTACAGAGCTCGTTAGCTCAACTATAAACACCTGTGTAATGGAACACGATGATGTCATCACTCCAACTGACATGCTCAGAGCAGCAGACTTCAGATAGCAGTGTGCAAACGGTGCAAACAGGGTTATGGCTAGAAAGGATCCGTCTTGTGTAAAACTCTCGCGAGAGTTTGGCTGAATGTCACGTGGCTGAATGTTTACGTTTGGCAGGCAGCCTTTCAGTTACGATCGTTAACATCAGTTGGCCACAGCAAATGATGGTGAGAAGCTNATGTTACACATCTTTCTGACATTATTCCTGTAAAACAACTTTTAAATCTGATTCTTACTTTTAGAGATATTAAACATTGTTCAGACCTTGTTTTATAGGTTTTCTTCACATTTTAACATTAACTAGAGTGTGTGATGTCACAGCTAGAGTGGAGGACAGCTTGAAATTCGCATTCATATATTTTTTTTAAACTGCCATAATTCCCAAACCCTACATTCCTGAGGCATAATTTTTTAATGACAAACGTAGGAAAACATCTCGTAGCTTGAAAAATGACAAATAATTAAACAAAAAATAATTAAACAAAATGCCTCTTGAGGGCATGAAGTGACAAAAACGTTCAACATTCCTCCATTAAACCCCATTGTAATTTCAAGCTGATATTTCCTCACAGCAGCAGCTGCACACCTTTAGTTAAACTGCCAAAAAGGCCACATTATTAACCCGAAACTACACAAAAATTACACTTCAGATACTCAACTTCCTTGACATGCTTCACGTTTTGAAATTTCACAGATATCTGTTACGGTTCTTCCACAAAACGTTCACATGTAAGAGGTTTATCTCTCATTCAGAACAATGGAAGCCTTTGATCTCTACACACCTCGTTAGTTCAAATATAAACACCTGTGTCATGGAACACGATGATGTCATCGCTCCAACTGACATGCTCAGAGCAGCAGACTTCAGATAAAGGTTAATGGTCCTGCCCTCAACAGCTCTACGTCAATTATGGGGTGTCATCATCATATGACGAAGGTCAAGAGAAGAGAGAGAGAAGAGAAAGAGGGCGATCAAGAGAAGAGAGAGAAGAGTAATGTAATAAAACACGGTTTTCTCATAACTTCAGTGAAAATTCTCCAAACGCCCCAAAACTTCACAGGTTTGGTAACGATACAGCCATCAAAGCATCTAAGCGTATTATGGAGTGTCTTCAAATGCCGTTGCCATGGCGACAGACAACTAGCCATGAAACAGGATGTCGCTGTAAGTCCAATTGACACGGTCCAATCGTCCCCCAATCTTCACTTGTATATCACCAGTCCATGCCTCAACAGCTCTACGCCAAATCTGAGATCTCACCATATGCCGTTTCCATGGAAACGCATCCCTCGCCATAAAACGTGATGTCGCTATAACTCCTATGAAAACGGTCCAATCGTCCCCCAATCTTCACTTGTATATCACCGGTCCATGCCTCAACAGCTCTACGCCAAATCTGAGATCTCACCATATGCCGTTTCCATGGAAACGCATCCCTCGCCATAAAACATGATGTCGCTATAAATCCAATGGACACGGTCCAATCGTCCCCCAATCTTCACTTGTATATCACCGGTCCATGCCTCAACAGCTCTACGCCAAATCTGAGATCTCACCATATGCCGTTTCCATGGAAACGCATCCCTCGCCATAAAACGTGATGTCGCTATAACTCCTATGAAAATGTTTAAAAAGTGCTCAAACTTCACATTTGTGCTAACAGTCCAGCCGTGAAGACATCTACGGGACAGTTTTGAGATTTCTTCAAATGCCGTTGCCATGGCAACACAATGCTCGCCTTGAAACACGGTTTTCAAAAAACTTCAGTGAAAATACTCCAAACAGCCCAAAACTTCACAGGTTTGGTAACGATGCAGCCATCAACGCATC